CCATGGCAAAGTCATATTTTTCTACTCTAGTTCTTTAGGTATGGCGAATAGTGGTAGGAAAATAATGTTTAGTTACTCGATAGATCTTTATTTATGAACCTTTTCACTTACTCTTACTCTCTGTCATTACTATTGCTGTGCACACAAATAACAAGACTTAGAAAAAGTTAGAAAAAGTTCTCATAAGGACAGTTACTGAAATTTTCTTATAATTTAACAGTTTTTAAGAGCCCACATATAAATCATATTATAGCTCAAAAAAAAATCAAACAAACAAACATGTTGAGAGTTTGCTTCGGGGCCGAAAGATCTGGGGAGTCAGCGGGAGTGTCCTTGCCACTGGGGCTTCTTTGTACCACTCCACCCTGCTACCCAAGCCTGCCTTTATGTCTGTGAGATCCTTGGAGCCCAGCAAGAGGCCCTGCTCCTGTGCTGAGCGGATCCAGAGTGATGAGTGAGTGGCCTCATGGCAGGATGGTCCCCGGGAACTGAGTGCAGCCCCCCCCCTCTAATTCCCTAAGCTTTTCTGGCCATCCAGGGGGTGTTTCCCAGCTGCTGGCTTTCTTTAGCAACCTCACCCTGCCTCCAAGCACTCCTTTTCATCTGTTAGGTCCTTGGATCCCCGAACTCAGCCTGCTTTGGGGCTGAGGGGTCCAGGGAGCCAGTGGGGAGTGTCCCTGCCACTGGAGCTTTTTTGTACCACCCTACCCTGCCTCCCAAGCCTGTCTTTTTCTCTGTGAAGTCATTGGAGCCCAGTAAGCCGTCCTGCTCCTGTGTTGAGCAGATCCAGAGAGGTGAGTGAGTGACCACGCAACCAGATGGACCCGGGGAACTGAGTACAGGCCTTTTCCAATTCCCTAAGATTTTCTGGCCATCCAGTGGGGTGTATCATCCACTGGATTGCTGGCTTTCTTTACCACGTTCCACTCTGCCCCCCAAACCAACCTTTTCCATCAGCGGGGTCCTTGGATCCCCCATCACATCCTGCGTCAGGGTAGAGGGATCTGAAAGCCTGCTCCAGTGCTGCAGGGACCTAAGAGAGGGCAGAACAAGAAAAACTCCCAAGTAAACTGTCAGCCACAGCAAAGATTGGACCAAGACGCCAAGACTCTACTGGTCTCATTTGAAAGAAGAGATGGGCAGGTGCCCATGCAAGAATTACTCCAAGATCCTGAAAAGCAACATGGTAACACCAGAATCCAGTGAACATGCAACAGGAAGACTTGAACATCCTAACCCAGAAGAAGTAGAAGAATTCGACTTTAAATGTAATTTTATGAAAATGATGGAGACCCTTAAACAGGAAGTGAAAAACTCCCTTAAAGAAATGGCAAAGAAGACAAAAAAAAGAAGAAGAAATTAAAAATCTCTCAAAGATACCCAAGAAAACCAAGAAAAAGCAACCAAACAAGTAAAGGAAATAGTTCAAGACTTGAAAACTGAAATGGAGGAAATGAAGAAGACACGGACGGAAGGATGGCTGGATATGGAAAATCTGGGTAAATGAACAGGAACTACAGGGACAAGTATAATCAATAGAATAAAAGAGACAGAAGAAAGATTCTCAGGTGCTGAGGATACAATAGACGAAATAGACTCGCTGATCAAAGAAAGAAAACAGCATATTTTTAGAGAGGTTAAAATCTATATAGTTTAAATAAAAGTGTTTCAGGGCAAAAAGAAAAAAAGAAAACAGAAAATCCAACAAATTCTTAACACAAAAAATCCAGGAAATCTGGGACACCATGAAAAGACCAAACTTAAGAATAATAATAATAGGGGTAGAATAAGGAAAAGAATTCCAGCTCAGTGGCCCAGAAAACATATACAACAAAATTATAGAAGAAAACTTTTCCAACCTAAAGAAGAATATTCCTACGAAGGTACAAGAAGCTTACAGAACACCAAATAGACTGAATCAAAAAAAAATCCCCTCACCATATAATAATCAAAACACAAAACATACAGAATAAAGAAAGAATATTAAGAGTTGCAAAGGAAAAAAGGCAAGTAACATATAAAGGTAAACCTATCAGAATTACACCTGACTTCTCTATGGAAACCATGAAATCCAGAAGGTCTTGGATAGTTGTGCTGCAGACACTAAGAGACTATGGATGCAAGCCCAGATTTCTATACCCAGCAAAGCCTTCTTTCACCATTGATGGAGAAAACAAGATATTCCATGACAAAAACAGATTTAAACAATACTTATCCACAAACCCAGCCTTACAGAAATTACTAGAAGAAAAACCTCAATCCAAGGAAGCCAACAACACCCACAATGACTATTTCTTAATTATACATTACATTTTTAGATGAACTGTATAAACATAATACCTTAAACAAAATATATATATATATATATATATAGTTATTGTTATTGTGATAAGAGGCCGCTTGTTTGTTCCTGGCTGCCCAGACTCCCGAAATAACCACACAGAAACTGTATTAATTAAATCTTATTGACCAACTCTTATATCTTATTTAAACCCATTTATATTAAGCTGTGTATCACTATATGGCTCTTGCTTATCGGCAAGGTTCCAGCTCGTCTGTCCTCAGCAATGGCTATATGGCAGCTTCCCTGATTCTGCTTTTTTTCTCCCAGAATTCAGTTTAGTTTTCCCCACCTACCCCTATTCTGCCCTGCACAGGCCCAAGACAGCTTCATAAACCAACGGTATTCACAGCATACAGAGGGCAATCCCACATCACAGTGTAATCAAAATCATCCTTAAATTTGAATTAATAGACCAAAATCCATATTAGTATAAATCCATATTAATGTAGAGTATTTATCTATATATCATATCCTCATTATTTCTTTTCTTTTTTCTCTCTAGAAATTGACTGTGACCATTAACCATTTATAACCAACCATTTTAAAATAAAAATAAACATTTATAAACAACCATTTTGGGAATTTGGGCATAATTTTCTCCAAACTGCTTCCTGCTGTTCACTGGGCAATGTATTTGGAGGGTTCATAGAAACCTTTCAGGGTGTCTTGTTCTATTAAACCACTTTATCCTAGAAGGAACTCACAGGCTCATCTTCTGTGGAAACAAAAACAGAATGTCTTTTCCAAAGTAACACATCCTTAGACTCTAATTTTGAAAACAAGAAACCTTTAAAATATATATGTTGGTTTAGTTTAGTAGCTCCAGAACCAAATGTCTCTCTGTAGTCAAAACATTCAAAGAAAACACAAGCACAATAACATACAGTACCCAGACTCTCTGTGTATTTTCCATCTTTACATGGCTTTGTTTTTCTGTTTCTTTTACTTTTATTTTTCCTTTTTGTTTTTTGAGACAGGGTTTCTCTGTATATCTTTGACTGTCCTGAAATTCACTCTGTAGTCCACGCTTGCCTTGAACTCACAGAGATCTGCCTGCCTCTGCCTCCCAAGTGCTGGGATTAAAGGCATTTGTTATTAAGCACAACTACCCTATTTCATTTTTAAGGGCTTTCTCTATCCTTTTTCTTTTCTCTCCCAATGCTACATGTATTTTTAAACACATTGTGAACTGCTTAGTAGTTTGGAATTTTTTCCAATCTGAATCTATCTTTATGGTATATTTCTATCTTTTTCTGAGCACATGAATCAGCTAAACAGTGTGGCTAGGATTAAAGCTGCATCTTTGATTTCTGGCTCCACCCCCATTTCGTAGCTTTCTGAGTCAAGAAGCCTTTCTTAAAAGATCTGCTTCTTGGCTTGCCTCTAGCAAACAGAGCCTACTGGAGAAAAGATGGTTACCAAGAAGCTGTGGTTGAGTGTTCTCGTCTGTCTAGAATCTTTTTTGTTTTGTTTTGTTTTTTTCAAGACAGGGTTTCTCTGTGTAACAGCCCTGGCTGTCCTGGAAATTGATCTTATAGACCAGGCTTATCTCACACTCACAAGAGAGCCTCCTGTCTCTGCCTCCTGAGTGCTGAAATTAAAGGCAAGCCTGCCTTACTAGAATTTTTTTAAAGGCTTTCTCAAGATAATATGTGAAAATTCTTGCCAAGCATTTGGGCACCATCTGTAAAGAGAAACTGCACTTTTATTTCCAAGCTGCCTAGACCTGAATACAGAAACTGTATTAATTAAAACACTGTTTGGCTAATAGCTCATGTGTATTTCTAGCCGCCAACTGTTACATCTTAAAGTAACCCATTCCTATTAGTCTACGTATTTTCATGTGGCTGTGATGTTACCTCATTCTCTATATGTCTTGTTTCCTAGGTTTCTCATTGAAGTCTCTTTGACTCTGCTTATTCTCTATATCTCTGTTCAGGTATTCTACCTGGCTTTGCTCTGTTAAGTCACCTGTCGAAACAGCTTTATTCATCAACCAATAAAAGCAACACATATACAGAAGGACATCTACTATACTATACTATTCTATACTATACTATACTGTACATCTGTATCTGTTTCTATATCAAATCATCTATATCTGTATCTGTATTTCTTTTCCTTTTTTTTTTTTTTTTTTTTTTTTTCGAGTCAGGGTTTCTCTGTAGCTTTGGAGCCTGTCCTGGAACTAGCTCTTGTAGACCAGGCTGGCCTCGAACTTACAGAGATCCGCCTGCCTCTGCCTCCCAAGTGCTGGGATTGATTAAAAGCATGCATGTGCCACCACCATCCAGACTCTATCTGTATTTCTGGCTCTATTTATATTCATATCTGGCTATATCAAGTCAGATAAATGTTTTGACTAGGCCAATAAAGGCCAATTTGTCTTTGAATTTACCTGTTAATAAAAAAAATGAAAACCTGCTTCCCATTTCATGACAAGGCATTCACATATTTAAATTAACAGCCTATCTGCACATCAAGATAGGGATCACTTCATTCTTGCCCCTGGAGATCAGTTCCTCCCTCTATCTATTAACCCCAGAAAAGAACTCATGACTCTGAGATCACATGTGTGATCATTTTGTGTGTGAAGCTTTTTAACAGGCGAAGTGAATTGCAGTCTCATTTGGAAATTCAACTAGAAAATAAGAGATTTTGACAGTGAAGACTTTCATCCAGGATACAATGAACTTTTCACTCCATTGCCTTCTCCATCTCTCAGTGCTTCATATCTGCACACGCGAATCAGGTAACTAACTCCATTTCTCTTACACACTTTTAGTTGTAATTCAATTACAAATGAATACCAGGTAACAGGCAATTTACTTTTACCCAAGTAGGTGAAAAAGAATGTTTGCTAGGCTCTGTGTATTAATCATACACCTATATAATCACCCAAATATCAAATCATTCAATAAGCATATCTGAATCTATGACTATGACTATACACAGTGGGAGAAATGTGAGAATGAAGGCAGCTAACAGCTTCTGAGGGATATGCAACTCATGCTCAAGTCACAAAGTTTCCTACACGTCTGTTTTATGTGACTGTAAAGATCGCAGACCAGCTAGCTGGATGCCAAGGGTCTCCTCACAACATCAGTCTGTTCCTTCGAATTATCCCTGTGTTCACAGTCTACAGCATTTATATGCTTAATGTTGAGATTGACTTGTGCTGAGGCCTTTTTTAATCATGAAGAGTTTTTTATTATGTAGGAAAGCATATATATAATTTCCTTTGTGAATTTCTCTATTATTACAAGCTAATATAATACTTCAATAAATATCATCTTAATATTTCCTGTTCATCCTTAATCATTGAGTTACCAACATTTATTCTATCAGTTTTTCTCAGGTTAAGACAATAACTAGTGTTCTTTAAAAATTTGGAAGAGAGCTCTAAAGAGGTGGCGTGGTGGTTAGGAGTTAGGAGACCCAATACTGGTTCCAGCACCTATATTAGGGGGTCACTGCAGATACATGCTTGGCCTCAGCATCTTTCCTTAGCTGCAGAGGGAGATTCCATAACCCCCCCTTTTTTTTTGCCCTGAAATCAGAACCAAATGGCCAAAGTGTCTTAAGTTCTACTGCTTGCTGGGCTCCCTTGTTCAAATGTATTTCTACCAGTTTTCTATTGTTGATGGTTTCTGTCACTGCTTAAACTTTTCTTTAATTGCTTTCCACAGTTTGAAACTTAGCTACATCAGATCTTGCTATTGGTTTCCACTCCATTTAATCTATTTAGCATTAGACTTTTCTTTGAAGTTTTTACCTTCGTTTTTTATGGTTTATTTAACTTTTATTTTTTTATGTGCATTGGTGGGAAGGTATCAGATCCCTTGCAACTTGATCTTCAGACAGCTATGAGCTGCCAGACGGGTGCTGGGAATTGAACCCAGGTCCTCTGGAAGAGCAGTCAGTGCTCTTAACCACTGAGCCATGACTCCAGCCCCGAGTTTTTTACCTTCTTAATTACAAAACGTAACTTTCTTACAACCCATGGTGCTCCTTTTCTCCTCAAACTCTACATTTGTGCTTTTCTTTTCTCAGCTTTCTCCTTTTCATTATATATCTGCATAAGTATGATTACTACAAACCTTATAACAGAGTCAACAGTAGGGTCTCTTGAAATCTCCTCTGCCAATGCCAGGATTCTTAAACTCTTCAATTTAGCTTATGTCAAATTTTTAGGACAAGAGAAAAAATAAGCAGCCACATTCTTCATCAAAATATCACAAGAACAACTATTAGGTCACTTCCTAATATTCTTCTACTTTAAAACTTTTTGAGCCAGGCCATCATAATCTACATTGCTCTAAGCCTTGCTGCTTTTATACTATTTTGTCCCTTTAAACCATGCTTGAAACATTCAATGTTTCTCTAGTCCAAAATCCCCAAGTCTACATTATGTCCACAAGCAGGATGCTTAGGCCTGTCACAATAATATTCTGGTCCCTGGTACCTACTTCTGACTTTATCACTGCTCTATTGTTATGAAAGATGCCATGACTGGGGCTTACTTACAGTTTCAGAGGTCCATTATCCTAATGGCAGAGAGCATGGCAGCATGTAAACAGACATTGTAGCTGAGAGTTCTACATCCAGATCCACAGGCAGCAGGAAGAGATGGACACTGGACCTAGCTTGTACTTTGAATAGCTCAAATAGCACCTTCAGTGACACACTTTCTAAAAAGTGTGGCTTTCTCAAGGCCACACTTATTCCTAGTGTGAATTCCTTCCTAATTCCTCTCAAGTAGTCTGACTCCCTGAGTACCAGATATTCAAATATATGAGTCTATGGAGGCCAATCTTTTTGAACTCCCACATTCTTATCCTAGCTCATTAGATTATGGGTTTATTTTATCTGTTGATGACCTTAATAATAATGCATGGCCACTTAGCATCTATTTATTTGTTTCTGCTTCTTAATATATTGGTATGATTTATCCAAAATTTTAGAGAAACTATAGTTTATTAAATCTCATTTTTGAATTTATTTATGCAATCTATTCTATTCAACATAATATTGTATCAATTATCTGGTAATTTTATGTAATATATTTTGATTATATTTATCCCCCATTGCTCATACTCCTCTAAGATCCACCTTCAATTCCCTACTCCAACTCCATATCCTTTCAAAAAAATAACCTCCTGAGGCCAATGTGTCCTGCCCCCATACCAATAAGTGTGGGATCATCCACTGCCTTGTGGTACAAAATACATTCTTAATTTGATTTTGGTTTTGATCGTGACGAATAATGTTTCTATGAATATCTTTATGTTTTTGGAGAACACATGTATACACTTCTATGACATTTAAATTATGAGAAAACTTATTTCTTATAGAGAATGCTAATGTTCAGTGATCAGATAACTCCAAGAATTTTTACTAAGCATCCAACAGAATTTTCATTCCCTTCAGCAGTGTGTGTGAGGTGTATTGTTTCTGCATATTCTCAAAGTTGACAGTGTTTGCCTTCCATTGTAAATATCTAGTGCATATGTAGTCCTCAGTTTAACCTGCATTTTCCTGATGATGTATTTTCTTAAATAAGTACATGAGCAATTAAGACAGGTGTGGAATAATGATTACTTTATGATACATGTGTAGATATATACATTAGTATCATGATACAGGCTTGATCATATATATATGTGTGTCATATACACACAAATATGTCTGTTAAGTATATAAACATATGTACATATTGCCTTATATTTGTTAATTTATAATTCTTAATTTTTATCATTAATAAGTATGTATCAGGTAATATGTGCCAGAAACCAATTTAGAAACTAAATATTCAATGTTGAAGAACATATGCAGTTCTTTTTCTTCTCATTGTCTTGATCTCTGTCTCTGTCTCTTGTCTCTGTGTCTCTCTGCCTATCTGTCTCTGCCTTTCTTTCTCCTACGTCTGAGGATCCAGTGCAGGACCCTGAATGTGCCAGGCAAGCATTCTAATACTGATAATATACATACAATATCCAGAACTTTTCCTTTTTATTGAGACATAGTCTCAACTATGTATCATAAGTTGGTCTTGAATGCAGAATCCTCCTTCCTCCATGAGGAATATGTTGTCACACATGCCTCATTTTTTTATTGAGCAAAAGAGGCAATGAAAATGGTAATCATAAGACAGGGAGATGAGAGCTGTTTGAATAGTCTGCAGAAGTATGGAAGAATATATCTTTTAACAATGAACCTCAAATTTCAGAGTCTTCACTGAGGATAAAGCATAACAGTTATGAGAGAGCTGTTCTAGGGAGAAATGTGACCATCTTCTGCAACTTGACAAGTCTGGCGAATGTTGAGCAAGTCACCTGGCAGAAAGTTCAAGGTCCATTGCTTCAAAATATCGGCACTTACAGCTATAAATATGGAGAAAATATTATCCCACCATATGTAAACAGGCTGCACTGCAAGATCCTGGAACCCAATGCCTCCTTCATAACCATCCAAAAAGTGACATTTGAAGATGAAGCCTGCTACAAGTGTCTGTTTAACACCTTTCCATATGGCAGCCATGGAGGACAAACCTGCCTCAACGTCCAAAGTATATAACCCTTTCTCTAGGGTCCCATAATGGGGGCAGACATTGTGGAGTTACAGTTATTAAGGACATTGTCCAGAGAAAGCTTCATTAAGAAAAATTGTTGATGAGTCCAAGTTACTTAGACAGGAGAAAAATGATGGAGGCCAGTGGAGTTTGTGTGTTCTGGCAGGAGCTATTACCTCATATCACTTCTTTACATTATATTTCACAGGCTTCCATTAGGTGGAGAAAACCCAGGAAGAGCATCAGAAGTTTGTTACAAAGGCAAAGAGAAGATATGAGAAAAAAGGAGATAGTAGGGAATAACAAGGAAAGGCGAAGACTAAAGGAAACAGGGTTCCCAGTCTTCAAATAAGAAGAGTGAGAACATCAGAGTTCTTTATCATGCATATAAGTGTGAAATACTGGGATTTTATAATATAATTTATAGCTTTATAGAAGTTGAGACAGCAGTCAGTGAACAGAGCAAAAGGTTTTGGAAGTTTTATGGCATGTGAGGGGAGGTATACAAGAGGGTTATGTCTTAACATTCATGTGTCATAAAAATTTGGGAAAACAGCATCCTTTAACAGCAGATAATTTAGTAAGGACATACATTTATATTAATATTGTTTTCCTCTCTTTGCCTCAGCTGTATCTGAATTAGCAACTGAACTCCATCCTGTTCCTGGCTCTGAAGATCTTCTTAGCCTTCGCTGTTCAGCTGTGGGAAAGCCTGCTCCTGGAATCTCCATTTACCCTTCACAAGCCCTAGTGTCCACGCGGGAAGAGTACTTTACCAAGAACCCAAATAGCACAGTGACCATCTCTAAAATAAACAACATCTCTTTGAAAACTGTTAGGTCCTTGGGCCTCCGGCACCTGGTTGTGTCCATGACTCACCCCCTAGGATATGAAGAGAAGATAGTTCCTCTGCCAGTAAAGCAAGAGGGTAAGTAGAAGTGACAGCAAACCAAAGGGGACAACTGAAGCTAAGTACCCACATAAAAAGCCAGATGGGAGTGTGTGTGCTTGTGATCACAAAGCTGGGGAGGCAGGAAAGACAAACATCTGGCGTTAATTGGCCAGACATCCTAGAGTAACCAGGGACTCCAGGAAATGACCCAAGTTAAACAGTGCTTCTTATTGATCTCTGCCTTAAAAGCGCATATGTTTACACACACACACACACATACCCCCTCTCTAATGTACAGACACAAATGTATACATGCACAAACATGCACATATGTATACAGATATGAGAGAAAGAGATAATAGAAGTTTATCTTTTAAAAATCTGTAATAAATGTCTGTATAAATCAGCTATCTTTGAAGAAGAAGAAAACAATGTAATATACATGTATGGTTAAGCAAACATAGTGTAGTGTCCCAAGTCTTTAATCTCAGGCCTTAGGAAAGAGGCAGACTGATCTCTTTGCATTAGGGTTCAGCCTGGTCTATACAGTGAGGTATAGGACAACTAGAGCTATATACTTGGACCCTGTCTTGAGAGAACAAACAGCAACAACAAATCAAACAATGCTGACCATCTCCACCCTAACTTTCCCACTGGGATGGAATCTTAAGATTCCCTTTCCCTTATTTCCTATATCTTGTCATTTATGGGTTTCTGTTTATTTTTTCTCCTACAGAGAGAATTCTCCTTTTGTTTTCCTTTAGTTGAGGCTTGTAGATATACATTTTAATTTTTTTGTCATGTAATATCTTTATGTTTTAAGCAACATTTCCATAGCACCTTAATTCATGTTAGGTAGTTTTTGTTCATTTCACCAATTTGGCAATAGTCATTGACTTTTCCTCATTTTTAATACTTTAAATCAGCATATAATATGCTAGATAGTATTATGACATTTTCAAACATTTCAAAAATTCAAAAAGTGAATTTTTGTGGCTTCCCTTCCTCCCATTTTCTCCATAGCCCTGCCACACCATTGCTCCTGCCTTAGAGCTTCCTCACTCCATGTTAATTTTCCTCTTCCCTGTGTTGTCCCTGTGTTGACACCCCCGATTCTACCTCAAAACCTAATACTATTTCTCTCTCTCTCAGTCACCGTTCCAGGATTTGTTACACTTTCCTCACCCTCAGTCTTATTTACACACACACACACACACACACACCTTCACACACACACCTTCACACACACACTGGCTATAATCTACATTTGTCCACATTTGAGGCAGAACATGTACATTTTGTCATTCCTAATTTGGTTTCCTCTTGCTTAATGTTCATGCTTTCCAGACACATCATTTTCTTAAAGCAAATTTCATGATTCTGTTTCTATTTGTAACTGGATAATATTACATTGTGTGCCTATATACTACATTTTAATTGGTCACTCATCTGTGGATGGACATCTAAGTTATGAATGGAGCTGCAATAAGCATGGATATTCAAGTGCTTCTATGGTGGAACCTGGAATCTTTTGGGTATTTTCCCAGAAGTATATAGCTGAATCATTTGGTAATTCTCTTTATAAATTTTTGGGGTGCTTCCAAGCCAATGTCCATAGTTACTGTATCAATATATACCCCCACAGCAGTGACTGAGCATTCTTTTTTCCCCCACATCTTCTTGAACATCTGTGGTGCTTTTTCTTCTTAATAGTCCCTTGACTGGGGTGAAGTGGTATCTCAGTTTTGCATTTCCCTGATGTCTACAGACATTGAGTATTTTGAAAATTAGTTAATGGAGGGCTAAAAAGATGACTCAGTGGCTAAGATCACTGGCTGCTCTTCCAGAGTATGGAATTGGATTTCTAGCACCTATAGGGCAGCTAAGAACTCCCTGCAATTCCAATTCTACAAGATTTGGTGCCATCTTTTGGGCTTTTGGGGAACCATGCATATAAAATGTACGAAATACTTATATGTATAAAATAGTCACAAATCTAATCTCAAGAAAAACTAATATATATGTGACTTAGTTTGGATTTCATTTATATTGTTTTTATTGAGCTCTATATTTTTGTCTGTTCCCCTCCCATCCTCTTCTCTCCCCTTCTGCCCTCTCCCATGTTCCCCATGCTCCAAACTTTCTCAAGAGATCTTGTCTTTTTCTCTATCCCATGTAGATTAGATCCTTGTAGGTCCCTCTTAGGGTCCTCATTGTTGTCTAGGTTCTCCGGGATTGTGAATTGTAATCTGGTTTTTCTTTGCTTTATGTTTAAATGCCGCTTATGAGTAAATACATATGATATTAGTCTTTCTGTATCTGGGTTACCTCACTCAATTTGATGTTTTCTAGATCCATCCATTTACTCACAAATTTCAACATGTCGTTATTTTTTTCTGCTGTGCAGTACTCCATTGGGTGAATGTACCACATTTTCCTTACCCATTCTTTGATCAAGGGTCATTTAGGCTGCTTCCACATTCTAGCTATGACAAACAATGCTGCTATGAATATAGTTGAGCACCTGTCCATGTAGCAGGATTAATCATCCTTTGGGTATATATCCAACAGTGGTATTTCTGGGTCTTGAGGAAGGTTGTTTCTTAATTTTTTGAGAAATCACCATATTGATATCCAGAGGGAGTGTACCAGTTTGTACTCACACCAGCAATAGATGAGTGTTCCCTTTACCCCACATCCTCTCCAGCATAAATTGTCATCAGTGTTTTTGATCTTGGCCATTCTTACTGGTGTAAGATAGAATCTCAGAGTTGTTTTGATTTGCATTTCTCTGATGACTAAGGATGTTGAACATTTCCTGAAGTGTCGTTCAGTCATTTTAGATTCCTCTGTTGAGAGTTCTCTGCTTAAGTCTGTACTCCATTTTTTATTGGATTATTTGTTCTTTTCATGACCAATTTTTTGAGTTCTTTGTATATTTTGGAGATCAGACCTCTGTCTGCTGTGGGATTGGTGAAGATCTTTTCCCATTTTGTAGGCTGCCGTTTTGTCTTGTTGACCATGTCCTTTGCTTTACAGAAGCTTCTCAGTTTCAGGGGGGTCCCATTTATTAGTTGTTTCTCTCAGTGTCTGTGCTGCTGGGGTTATATTTAGGAAGTGGTTTCCTGTGCCAGTGTGTTCAAGTGTACTCCCACTTTCTCTTCTATAAGGTTCAGTGTGGTTAGATTTATGTTGAGGTCTTTGATCCACTTGGACTTGAGTTCTGTGCATGGTGATAGATATGGATCTATTTTCATTCTTTTACATGTTGATATCAAATTATTCCAGCACCATTTGTTGAATATGCTTTCTTTTTTCCATTTTATATTTTTTGCTTTGTTGTCAAAAAAAATCAGGTATTCTTAGATGTATGAATTAATATATAGGTCTTCGATCTGGTTGCATTGGTACTCTTCTCTGTTTTTATGGCACTACCAGGCTGTTTTCAGTAGTGTAGCTCTGTAGTAGAATTGGAACTCAGGGACTGTGATGCCTCCAAAATTCTCTTTATTGTACAGAACTATTTGAGCTATCCTGCTTTGTTTTTTTTTTTTTTTGCTTTTGCATATGAAATTGAGTGTTTTTTTTTTTTTTGAGGTCTGAGAAGAATTTTGCTGGGATTTTAATGGGCATTGCACTAAATCTGTAGATTTCTTTTGGTAAGATTGCCATTTTTACTATGTTATTTCTACCTACCGTAGAGCATGGGAGATATTTCCATTTTCTGGTGTCTTCTTCAATTTCTTTCTTCAAAGATTTATAGTTCTTGTCATACAGGTCTTCCACTTGTTTGGTCACAGTTACTTGGAGATATTTTATGCTATCTAGCTATTATGAAGCGTGTTCATCTGTGAAAAGGAGGGTTACTGATACTTTTGAGTTAATCTTGTATCCTGCTAAATTACTGAAGGTGCTTATGAGTTGTCAAAGTTCCTTGGTAAAATTTTTTGGATCACTTATGTCAACTATCATATCATCAGCAAATAGTGAGAATTTGACATCTTATTTTCCAATTTGTATACCCTTGGTCTCCTTTTGTTGTCTTACTGCTTTAGCTAGGACCTCAAAAACTATATTGAATAGATATGGAGAAAGTGGACAACCTTGTCTTGTTCCTGATTTCAGTGGGATCGCTTTGAGTTTCTCTCCATTTAGGTTGATATTGGCTGTTGGTTTGCTATATATTACCTTTATTATGTTTAGGTATGGTGTTTGTATCCAAGACCTTTGTCATGAAAGAATGTCGTATTTTGTCAAAGGTTGTTTCAGCATCTAATGAGATGATCTTGTGGGTTTTTGTTTCCAGTTTGTTTATATGGTGGATTGTCAAGACAGATGTTGAACCATCCCTGCATCTCTGGGATGAAGCTGAATTGATCATGGTGGATAATTTTTTTGATGTGCTCTTGGATTCAATTTGCCAGTATTTTATTGATTATTTTTGCATCAATGTTCATGAGTGAGATTGGTCTGTAATTCTCTTTCTTAGTAATGTCTTTGTATGGTTTGGATATCAGAGTAATTGTAGCCTCATAAAAAAAAGTTTGGCAATGTTCCTTCTGTTTTTAGAGTGTAAAACAATTTGAAGAGTATTGGTATTAGTTCTTTGTAAATCTTGTAGATTTCTATGCTGAAACCATTTGGACTTGGCTTTTTTGGTTGGGAGACTTTTGATGATTGTTTCTATTTCTTTAGCAGTTATAGGTCTATTTAATTTGCTTATCTGGCCTTGATTTAATTTTGGCAAGTAATATTTATCCAGAAAATTGTCCATTTCCTTTAAGTTTTCCAATTTGTGGACTACAGGTTCTTGAAATATAACCCAATGATTCTCTGGATTTTCTCCATGTCTGCTGTTATGTCCCCATTTTCATTTCTGATTTTGTTAATTTGGGTAGTCTTTCTCGGCCTTTTTGTTAGTTTGGATAAATGTATTGTCTATTGCTTTTCTCAAAGAACCAACTCTTTGTCTTGTTGTTTCTTTGTATTCTTTTCTTTGTTTCTGTTTTGTTGATTTCAGCTCTCAATTTGATTAT